TATATATATATATATATATATATATATATATATATATATATATATATATATATATATATATATATATATATATATATATATATATATATATATATATATATATATATATATATATATATATATATATATATATATATATATATATATATATATATATATATATATTTATATAAATTAATTTAGGCATTTGCCATGGACTACAATCACATGAGATATAGCCTGCTGTTATGCAAATGTTGTACTACATCATCGTTCTCCAGTATCTTCATGCATGTGGGCGTAACACATTCCCATCTTCCGTTTGTGCCTGTTGCGTAGCCATGCGTTCCTATCACTACTCGTACAACTTGTCCAATGGCTCATAATAATCTTTTCTGCAGTTGTTCATCAACAGAGGAGACGGTGTAATCTCACAAAATTGTTACGTAGCGTACGTTCCAATCAACACTCATATCAATAAAGTACAATAGCTCTTAACACGCTTTGTCTACAATTATTTATCCACAGAGGTGACTGTGGCCATGTCGTTTGCCGGAACCACCACATTCAACCCTGTAACAGACAACATCCCTGGTACTGATTTCAAGTTCTCACCGCCGAAGAGTAAAACTCTGCCATCAAGGGGGTTCTCATTTTACAGGTAATGACTTTGAACAGGGTTGGTTCCACGCATGTTAATATATGGATTCTACTGTATATAGATTAGTTAGACATAGACGTCATTCCATGTCAGTACTCATATGTACATATCTACCTTTTGTAGTTTGTGTGTGCTCGAATTTTACTGTATTTATACATGTTATACATAGACGTCGTTCCATGGCAGTATACATACGTACATATATACCTTTTGCAGGCTGCGTGTGCTCTAGATCTACTATACACACACACACACACACACACACATATATATATATATATATAATAGTTATACATAGACGTCAATAATAGTTATACTATATATATATTATAGTTATACATAGACGTCAGGCTGTGTGCTCCACGGCGGCATCGTAATGTCTGTGGGCGAAGTTCAATGATAATACTGTCCTGTGGTGTATATGATAAAGGCTTCGTGCTGCTTTCGTTCAGTGGTGGGGCATTCTTTAAAACCCAAATTCTCATAACGGTGTAGACTATTCTGCATGCGGTACTGCTGGATTCCATTTCTTTGTAAGTGGCATGATCTTCATACTTCAATGAGTTTGTCCTCCGCCTTCGCCTGTCGTCTTCGCCCTAAACCGGTCTGTCTCTCAACGTCTCTCCTGAACGTGGGTCAAAATTTTCACTCGAGAGGATTGCTGACATTCGTACGCGTTTTATATGCCGCAGCCAAGATATATTCCAGAGACCAAACCCCGATGCGAACGCAGACGTAAATGTGAGTCCGTCGAGTGAGCGTCTGCAACTGCTGGAGCCCTTCGATGCCTGGAACGGAGAGGACTTCAAAGGTACGAGGGTTATAGTCTGAGTGGTGTTTTGTGCTTGTTTATGGCTATTCCTTGTGCAATACGCAGACTTCGTCTGTGTGTGGGGTGTGTGCATGTCCTTCATATGTTTGTATTTTGTATGTTCATATATTTGTATGTTGTGTTCATATGCTTTTATGTTGTGTGAACTTGCTTGTGCGGTTCTGTTGCTCAATCGTAGATGGTGCCTCATGTACTGTTGTGTGTATGTCCTTCATATGTTTGTATGTTGTGTGTTCATATATTTGTATGTTGTGTTCATATGTTTGTATGTGTGAAATTGCTTGTGCGGTTCTGTTGTGGTGCCTCATGTACTTTTGTGTGTATGTCCTTCATTTGTTTGTATGTTGTGTTCATATGTTTGTTTGTTGTGTTCATATGTTTGTATGTTGTGTTCATATGTCTGTATGTTGTGTTTATATGTTTGTATGTTGTGTGTACTTGCTTGTGCGGTTCTACTGCTCAATCGTAGATGGTGCCTTATGTACTGTTGGATCGGTTGCCTTGGGTATGACTGACGTCTTTCTCGTCACCTTGCGCCGCTGTGCTGCTTGTAAAGTTTTTAATCCATACATCGCATATGGTGCGTGCACGAGTCTGATCACATCCCTCTCCCATGTGTACGTATACCAAACGTACCAGCGTGCCACATTGGCAGATACACACACATACACTTCCACCACACTGCGTTATGTGCTATCAGCCTGCGCTTCTCTGTGCACTCCGTAACACACTACAACCCCCACAGATATGTTGGTGAGTGTGAAGGTCCAGGGCAAATGCACCACCGACCACATCTCCGCGGCTGGTCCCTGGCTGAAATACAAGGGCCATCTCGAGAACATTGCGGAGAACACGCTCATTGGCGCTGTCAACGACGAGAATGACAAGGTCAACAACGTGCACAACTCTCTCACGGGTGAGTTTGACACCATCCCGGAGGTCATGAAGGCTTACAAGGACGCCAAGAAGCAGTGGATGGTGTTGGCGGATCACAACTACGGCGAAGGCAGTGCGCGAGAGCACGCGGCCATGCAGGTATGTGTCAGCAATACCCCAAAGCCCCCAGAGGCAGAACCCAAAGTCCCGAGGCCCAAAGTGTTTTTGTTTTTGAACCTTCCGATATCGTTGTTTACACTATTCAAATTACAGATGGGGCCTGTGCGTGTGAAAGTTCTACCTTGCTGCGACGGGGATACTCTCACCCACATAATGTGGTTGTCTAATACTGTGCTTTTGACCATGGTTGCCCACCCATGCTTCGCTTCTTCTTGTCTCATGCGTTCACTACTCACAATCCCTCAGGTGCGGTACTTGGGCGGGTCTGTGGTTGTGGCTCGGTCGTTTGCTCGAATTCACGAGACCAACCTGAAGAAGCAGGGAGTGCTGCCTCTATGGCTACAGGACGAGAACGACTACAGCAAGATCAGCCCACGCGCTGTGTGTTCCACGGGTATGTCTGGCTCAGCCTGTATATGATGTACTTGACAATACTTGTTTGCTAGGTTTAAATACTGGTGGCTTCTTTTGGGTAGGTTTGAATACTGTCGGCTTTTGTTTATTTGCCCTTGTCTATACAGTATTTCGCCATAGAACAGTCGTCGCACAGTGTGCTCAACTGGTCGAATGCGTTAGCTAACGATGGGTCATCCATGATCATATATATAGTTTTGGGATACATACCTATTACGTTTAGTGATGGCAAGTACTGCATACCGTAGCACCCATTGCTGCTCGAAAGCGCTGAACCCTAACCCTAAACCTTCAACCTAAAACCCTACACTTCTTTACCCTAAAGTACACATCAATTGATAGAAGTGCGCGCGTCTGATATACTCGGCAGAAACGCGGCACCACAGATTAATCAGAGGACGCACGCACCACATAGACCCATACAACCGTTTGCTTTTGCGTTCAATCTCAAACAATCTCATGTGCAACCGATGTGCCCAGACCACTGTCGCACACCTACCACACCAACTCAAACCATCTCCTACAACACACACACAGATGGGCTGAGCTCAATTGCTCCCGGATCCAAGGTTGACCTCTTGGTCCGAAATCCCGGCCAGGACACCATCCGCATACCCCTGCGACACACACTCAGCGGCGACCAGATTGAATGGATTCGGGCGGGTTCGGCATTGAACATGATTGCCGCTGCCCAGGCAAGGGAGGAGGCGGCTTCAGCATAGGTGTTGACTAGTTAATTATTGTGTGGAGTATTGACTTGTTAATTACTGTGTTGAATAGTTGACATACTATTGTATCGGACAGTTGTCTGGTTATATCAGATGTCTGATGCGTATCATCTTAGGTGAACCTCTGGACCAAGGTGTAGTACGCGCTGCGTTGGGTGTAACTGCGCGAGTAGCACTAATTTAGTAAAATTGGCGGGAAGTGGCATTTTTATTCGGTTTTAGCAAACACACTAAATAAAAGCCAGCGATGTCACAATTATACGTGCTTATATATTTCGGGTATATTTTGTATGAAGCAGCCCAGAATGTTTTAGCAATCTCTGCTGGGCCACAAAAGTGCATTAAAAAGTCTGCGCGTAAATAAGGATGTGAGCAGTGGTACAAGGGTGTGACAAGCCTAAAACACAGTTGGCATGGTTTGATTGCCCACGAGTATCCGTGGTTTCGACACCTTCCCAGTTGCTATGAGTTGCTGATGGATGAGTGCGTTTGTAGGGAGGGTGGTTGGTCAAAATCAAACTCTTGCGAGATAGACCCATACGCATGGCACAAACAGTAGAACGACAGCCGCGCTCCTATATTGCCAATGTTTATTTTGACAGAACATAGTCCCGTGGTTGGTAGGTACGGACGGTCCGAACGAACTGACCGATACTAAAATTGGCAGAATAATAACTTTAATTTCACAGAAAGAAAGCAGATGATTCTGCTCAATAAAAACAATGGGGCCACTAGTAACTTTAATAACGGGGAGACTGGAGATCTAGCTGAGTAGGATAGATCTTTTGATGTCTCACATGATCTCAGACCCAAGAGAAGCTGTCCTCTCAAAATATATATTACTTGGGTTGAACATCCACATTACTCCCCGCAGAGCGGGTGAGCACAGCTGGGTGAAAGTTCGGTACGTCTTTCAACCAATCATTCTGAAGATTGTATATATCAATATTTATCGGCGTACGCGCGGTAGTAAATTTTCACATCCGAACAAAACATCATCATGCATCACAGGACTTATACCCAGCGGGGACAACCCGGAGCGTTTGACTTGGTGCTGTCTCGTGTAGCATACCAAAAAACCAACAAAGCCTCGCCACCACCATATCGTGCGAAATCGGTCCGCAAAGCGACTGATTGAGCATTTGACTTGGTGCATAGGCACAATCTACCCCACGGCAAACTGACCGGTACTAAAATTGACTGATAGGCTATTTTCAATAGTAAATGCCATAGCCTCCTTAAATAATTACATAGAAGCACTCCCTATAAATTACTGCTCCGTGCGTTTGTTTGACTTGCGATGCATAGGCACAGTATATCAAATGGACCGATGATAAAATACCTGGTACGCGTTATGTGGGCAATAAAGCAGTCCCTTGAATATACGACCCCATGCATTTGGCTTGAGGTGCAAAGGCACAGTATATCGAATGTAACGATAATAAAATGCCTGGTACGCGTTATGTTAGTACTACTATAAGCAGTCCCTTGAATATACGACCCCATGCATATTTGGCTTGAGGTGCATAGGCATAGTATATCGAATGTACCGATAATAAAATGCATGGTACGCGTTATGTTAGTACTACTATAAGCAGTCCCTTGAATATACGACCCCATACATATTTGGCTTGAGGTGCATAGGCATAGTATATCAAATGGACCGATAATAAAATGCCTGGTACGCGTTATGCGAGTACTAATATAAAGCAGTCCCCCTTGAATATACGACCCCATGCATATTTGGCTTGAGATGCATAGTATATCAAATGGACCGATAATAAAATGCCTGGTACGCGTTATGCGAGTCGAGTACTAACCTAAAGCAGTCCCTTGAATATACGACCCCATTCATTTGGCTTGAGGGAAAGTCATACTTACAATAGACCACACAAACTCTAGGATGAAGCGAGTTTGGTGAAATTTGTACGGCGAGTATTTAATATTGAAAAGTGGTCAAGGTCACCCGCAAGATTAAGTATTAAAAATCAATTATGTGTAGGTGTAGCCTATCCGTGTCTTTGCATGTGTTCCCACTTGACTAACATTTGGAACTCACTAAGGGGCTACCAGCTAGGAACTGCCCATACTATCTCAAAGGCGAGACTGAGATGCCTCAGCGGCTTAGACGTCCACAAGCATCTGACACCATATGTCCCTATCAACACATCAGGCGAAGTGATTGTCTATCGCTGTATTCATAAATGCAGTCCAGCACACATTGCTATGTATCCCGGATCAACATATCAAACGTATCTATCTATATATCTATCTAAATCTTCATATACACTCCTGCCCTGTGCCTTATCTCACCACTATTTCTCTACCACGATTGGGACCTGCCGCCTCCTCCATACCCTTTATAACTCTCATTCTGGCCCTGATATCTATTCCTCTGATATCCACCAGCACCCCCACCCGATTGTTTGTTGTTGTACCCACCACTGCTACCTCCGTTCTGTCTGCCGTAGCTGCCACCACCGCCTCGACTGGAACCACCACCACCGTAACGGTTATAGCTACCTCCGCGACCACCGTAACGATTGTTGGATCCACCAAAGTGCTGTATCTGAGGATAGCAGAGAGGTGAGACGTATAGAATGAGACAAAACGTTCAATGCACTTGGGAGGGGCTGGGTCATCACCAACAAACATTAGCTAGCGCCTATCTACCACACACACACACAGCAACGTTCATCTCTGGGCCAAGTTTAGACAGCACCGAAGCCACTCACAGCTTACAGCCGGGCCAAAAGCCCTACCCCTAGCACACCCATTTTCATGCATGTACACACAAACACACATCCAGCCTCAACACTTACCTGTATCTTTAAATCAGGAATCTCCGTAGCCACCTCCAGCTTGCAACCACTGGGGCTATTATTGAGCAACTGATTGGCTCGGTGAGCGGGCACATCGAAGATCACCTGCTTCATGTCCTTAGAGATGACCGCGTCGTTCTCCGTTCGCGGATCGTTCAGGAAGCCGATGGCCTCGTCCTTGCTGCGGAAGGTACCCTCCAGCTTAGTGCACGTAATGGACTGGGTGCCCTCGCGACAGTCCAGAAGCGATCGCACGTTGGCGGATTTAAAGCCGGCGGTGCACGCGAGCGCCTTGGCCAGTGCCAGCTCAGCCCCTACACGAATAAGTGGTAAATTAATATATTGATCAGGTCTTGCACACGATTAAGTGTCAATTGATGTTGGCTGGCCTTTGTATACGATAAAGTGCCTAATATATAAACCAGCTAGTTCGTGTATGAGCTAAGTCTGACATCTGATGCGGAGTAAGTAGATAGACTTACAACCCGGTTTGACATCCACATCACGGTTGTTTCCGTGCGTCTCTTTGCGTCATGCCGACACTTGCAGACGAGAACGTAAGCCCCAGACCCGATAAAATTTTATAAATATATATTGCCATCCGATACACGCGACTGAATCACCCACCCACACAACTACCAATCCGCAATATTCGGCCACTGAAACACATACACAAATACTAATTAAACGTACCTTCATTCTGAATCATCGATCGCGCAGCGTCTACAAAGTGCTTGCTGGCACTCTCACTCACAGAGTCCACCTGATGGCGAGCGTCTGAGATAGCGCTCTGAGCCAAATCGTGGGGCTGCGCCGGGCCAACTCGGGCCATCTTGAAACCAGCCTTCTTCTCGTAGCTTAGAATCTGAAGGATACAAGGGATGCGGTGTATATGAGTTTCATACTACAAGTGCAATGCCAAAAAAAAGGGGGGGAAAACAATAAACCCTACCAGCTGCGCTATATGTAGTCGGGTCATTAATAATTTAATCGAACTCCAGGCAAACCACCGACCGATTCCATCTGGTAGCAGATGATAACACGGTTTGCATATTAATACTGCAGTACATACACCCCTGGACCGCCGGTCTTCGCTATTGTGAAGCATATACCGAGTTTGGTAGCGAACCCAGACAGAACCAATATCATACAACGAAAAGCAAACAAAACAACACAAGACTGACAAAGCAAAAGCACATCCAACCCAACAATATACATACGACGGCGAGATATATATACACTCACTCACCTGACTCTCTGCTTCGTTGTTCTTAACAACAGTGATGCAGGTGCCATATTTACCCGCGCGTCCAGTGCGGCCAGATCGGTGGATGTATGTCTCGAAACTCTTTGGTGGTTCAACTTGGATCACCAACTCCACCTCCGGTACATCCAGACCACGAGCAGCGACATCAGTAGCAATTAGGTTCATGAAAGAACCTGTGACATGCGATTAAAATGATAAAAAAAAAGTCAGAATTCAACTATACACAGAGCAACTTGTACGGACAGATTTAAAGAGCGAAAAAAACATCTAGTTACTAACAGTGGCAACACACAGTCCATGATTTGACCCAACAATTAGGTGTACAACCGTTCATCGGTACCAAACAGACCCAACAATTCGAAGAAAAAAAAATGCAATACCTTTGCGGAACTGGTCTAAAGTGCGCGTTCGCTCGTGTTGCGCGATATCACCGTGCAGTGCCTTTGAGCCGGGGATGGCCAGGGCAAGCTCAGTGGCGTAGCTCTTGGTCTCAGTGAACACAATGACGCGGCCAGAGTTGTTGGTGGTTTTCTATAGCGTGACAGAAAAGAAAAGAAAGGGCCAGGTCAGTGCGGGCACACAAGGGGTAGGATAAGTGTACCACTGGCACGTGGTGTGGGAATTCACGTTGTTGCAAGGCTTTACAAGAAGCCTCCAGGGGCTATAGCTCAGAATCACGTTTCTCAACAAGATTTGTTCTGTGCAGATCTTGGTATGTGATCATTTAAACCCTGGAGGAGCGGGTGCTGCAGCTAAGCACCACTTTAGAAAAAGACACCACGCACATTCGCAACGCAGCAAGTAGCTACACAAAACTAAAAAACAGCAAGCAGTCATCCTAGCGAACGCATCAACACAGTCCAACATATTTCCGTATATATTTATATATATGTCGTGTATAAATCCACAAAATTCTGACATCCATATTGTTTCCTGCTACAAAACTATTATACCTTGATCACATCTGCCAATACTTCAGGGAGACTGCAGGACCGGTTGACCTTCAGGTATTGGTGGGTTACCGTCTCGGAGGTCTTCTGCTCTCCAGCGCCAATCAGATCCACCAGAACTCGGTCAGCCTTCAGATACGCACCAACCGTCTTGCGAATAAAAGAGGGCAGGGTGGCCGAGAATAGACACATCTGTGTGTCTTCGTTCACGGACTTGACATGACCAATGATGGCACTCAGCTCCTTCTCAAAACCAATATCCAGCATGGAATCAGCCTCGTCCAGAACTAATAGTTCGATCTCATCCAGGCGTACGTTGCCTCGGTTCACCATGTCTACCAAGCGGCCTACAGGGACCGTATAGACAATCACAGGAATTAAATATACACGTCTAAATGAAAGCGACTGCACGGATAGACTGGCAATACCTCGCTGCAATATTACTATATATATAAAGTGTAACAGGTGATTAAAACAAATGACACTATCCGACTGCCACGGTCACAAGGACTAGATAATATCACGAGAAAAGGAAGAACTAGGCGAACCTCTCCAAAAACAAACAACATATAAGCCTCAAGGTACAGTTATCAGCACATAATGGCTCTGATCAGGTCTGTGTATTGAACTCTCATTGGCTATGTATACGCTCTTTCGACACAGGACGGAGCTAGGACATACCAGGAGTGGCTACAAGCACGTCCAGACCCTGAGAAATAGCACGTTGCTGCACTTCGTACGAAGCTCCACCAAAGATACACGTAGACGACAATCTGGGGGAGATCTTCTCAATTTCTTTGTGCACCTGAATGGTCAGAACAAAAAAAAAGAGTATTCGAGTAAGAACACTATACAGAAGGGGAAATCCCACCTTACAAGACTCTTGGCAAACCTACATACAGCGAAAGCGAGACTATGGGGTTGAATAGATAGTGGACTTGACTGGTCCAACTCAAAAAGATCAAACCAAGCGATATTGCATCCAAACCGCCACAGAAGGCGCAAATGACCACCGACCGTGTGAGGAACCGCACATACACGTACAAACCATCGGAACTCGCTCTATCCAACTATACACACTTTTTTTGGTCACAATTTAAAACTGTGACCAACCCTATGTGTTGTATATATCTCATACCTGCATGGCAAGTTCACGGGTGGGCGCAAGGACCAGCGACACGGGGCTGCGACCTCTGGCCCTGCCTCTGTTCATGGAGGTGATCTTCTCGACAATGGGCACGGCAAAGGCAAGCGTCTTGCCGGTTCCAGTTCCTAAGGAGAGTTGATTGTGCAAGGACGGGTGAACTCGCAGTTTCTGAGGGGTCGTATTGGACTGGACTGTAGCGATGCATATGCTACTGCGGCAATTGATGGCCAGTGCATATAACCACGAATAGAATATATTAATAAAACACCTTACCATCGATCGATAAGCAAAACACATTCCAAAAATGGACATGAGGATGTATGGGAACATACACTACGAAAATTATAGCCACTGATAGTGACAAACGGTCGACGTACGTGCACGGGCGATGACATCCTTGCCAGCGATCAGATGCTTGAAGCACGACGTCTGGATGGGGAAGAGCTCGTTAATGCCCATTCGCTGCAGGGCTGTAGAGTGTATTGTAACGAGAACAATCATTAGTCGAGTGTCCAGAGGAAGTGTTCATAACGACTTAAACAGGGCAGCGGTACAGTAGACAAACGAAGCGAGATGTAGAGTGCCGTTAGTGCGCCTACACGCACACACAGAATACGAGAACTATGTATCAGTGTACACGGCCCACAGATTAAAATAAATAAATTGGCGGTGCACGCATACTTAAATGGATCCGATCTACACAGCCACTGAACCGACAAACTATTTGCATCTGTTCTGACCTGACGTGAGATCAAGTCTCTCTACACCCGTGACAAGATCCATGCAGAACAACACCGTACGGCGATCATGCTACCACCATGCATCATTTTACCACATCCGTCCCGTACTCTTCTCGATATACCACAAAAGTGCTTATGGGTGCCAGTAGAGAATCCAGAGCCACCTACACTACCAATCACACAGAATCTCGACTCTCCGCCCAAAGTGACAGTAAAACGGACACACGTTGCCACCACAAAAGGTTATGTCGCCGGATAGGCTGATTTAATCGTGCTCTAATCCATATATATATATACATACACATCTAGACTCAAGCATACACACGCGATGTACAATAAGTACATCCAAAAAAGCACCGTACCGATAGCACAACCATATAGCACCACACAGTCATAGCGACAGTGGCACTTGGAACATACACGAGATAGTGTCAGCGGATAGATTGATGCCATCCTGGTCCAAATCGTCGAGCTTCCTCGTGGCATTCTCGTCTCTGTGATCGACCTTTACAACGGTAGTTTCATGCTCGCTGAAATCATCTGTCGTATCGCGTGAGATCATACACAAAGCACGTCAGTTCTCAATACTCAGCCTACTTCGGCATATAATTAAGGCTAAGTCAAGGTTTTGGACACTTCGCGGCCATTCTATGGCTAGGACGGGCCTTCTCTGATGCCAATATAAGCTAAGTATAGTACCACCAACATTCTGAAGCTACCGCGTTGCATGCCACTATTTTTGTTAACAAGCCGGCTGAATTGAAATGGTGTCAGGTACTCGCAATAATCAACCGAATAATGCGTCCAGTAGACAAAAGGGCACGCCTCGCGCGGGATAATAATATATATAAAAACGGTATGTGAAGTATATAGACTAACTTCTATGCATCAGAATCACGATTTCTTCGATATGATTGGTTCTGTACTGATCTTGGTTTGTTCGTTAGAGGTATTACGGTATTATACTGCCACCGTTTACGCACGTTTTCTACCGCTGTGGGTTGTTGAGAAGAAGAGCGCCTTCCCCTACACCACACTAGAGTGACTATATACATACACATGAAATGTACATGTATAAATTAATATACAAATATATGGAAAATACCATAGTACAAACAAAGAGTTCACACAACCAAAGGCAAACACCGTATAATCTACACATAACGGCACAGAGTAGACCTACTTACCGTTCAAAGCGGCCTGGGATAAGTAGCGCTTGTATGACGAAACACTACCAGCCTTAAAGGCGTTGTATGACGTCCACGCGGCTCTTGGGCCACCTGCCGCTAACACGCCTTGCGCGCCTATAACGAGTAGAAAAGTCGTTCAAATTAGGGGAGATACGTGATACGAGGTATTCATGACATGTGCAACGATCACTATCCGACGGGATATTCCAAGGCAGCATTGAACACAGCACGTTAAGATGGGCGAACTATGGTTCAATCACAAATGGAATGGCACATTCCCGAAAGGGAACGCATCTTAAAACATGTAGAGTGCTAGCTTAGCTTATCGCTCGTAGGGTCAGGGTGCATGCTCACAGCGTGTTGCACGAACACAAATATGCTTCAGAATTACGATTTTATCAACAAGATTGGTTCTGTGCAGATCTTGGTTTGTTCGTAGTGATCATCACCGCATAAGCCTATCACATAGAATATTTTTTTGTCCTTGTAACATATTGAAGGCAGCGGTTCGTACATCTCATCGACCAATGTAACCCCTCGTAGACATGAGCAATTGCTAGCATAAATAAACTCTCACAACCGTAAATTCTTCTAAATATACTTGTTGGAACCTATTCTTGAAGATTATCTTGATATCGCTCACATGTGCATAAACACATGCATATGGATATTTGGTATAAATGAATGCGTAAATACATACATCCATAAATATATTACATATTCACGTGTACACACACACACACATATATATATATTTATAAGCATATATATATATATATATATATATATATATAAGAATATATATATATATATATATATATATATAAGCATATATATATATGTATCGTGAAACAGACGACTATACACCCATGAATACACATGCACAAACTTCACGATTTGTTACGAGACGAACCTACCGTACTTCACATACATAACTCGCGATGTCCTAGGGTAAAAAAAGTATAGCGCCAACGATCGCATAACGCAACTTATGTATCACAACATACTAGCATGTGTCGAAAAATGGTTGGCGTCACAATAGTGGTGCCTGTTAAGGCCTCAAAAACATCCTACTAATTCATGCGTGCAACATACAAAGCAGAAACGGGATTGCTAATCGACTTGTTACAACCCATTGCATGACGCTGACTGATAAGTTGCTCTTCGCGCGTACATAACCACACTAAAACATACACACTTACGTCGAGCAATTGAGAATAGCATATTGTGTACTTCGAATCGTCTTAACTAAACGTTCTACTTATAGTACTGTGTGACAGCCCGTGTACATGCGGCTACTTTTGACCATTTTTAACCATTTGTTTATCCGTAGTCAAACAGAGCACCACATGACAGCTCCTTTCAAAAATCAATAAATATTGTCATGCGTTCGAATCAACGAATGTATAGAAGCAATGTCATCAATATTTTTAGTACATAATAAAGTGAAACGTGTACGGAATAAGCTGGTACAATTTGCACTATGGACAATTAAAAAGGAATGAATCTTGACTGGACTGACATTTAGTTTGGAACCCTAAACCCAAGAAACCCAAACACTGCTTCTTGTATTACATATATATATAAAAAAGCAAAATCGCTATTCATTCGATTTATAAATAAACGTTAAAATGTTTTTACTGATGGTCAAATCATAGCCTTCTGAGAAATGAACATGTGGTTTGTTTTTTTTAAATAAAAAAAAGGGGGTTTTTTAAAGAGGCTATACTTTTGATTTAAAAAAACAAAAAAAAACAAAATACATAGTCAAAGACTCGAAGAGGTATTAAAAAACCCCCATGTATTTGTATCGACAAATGCTCCGATTCCTCCGAACATGGACCTATTTATGTATTTAATATTTATAAGGCTAATAATACATGGCGGCAATATAGGGCCATCACGATAAGTCATAGCCAAATAGCCAACTGATAAAACTAAGTACACATAGATACGTTCCAACGAAAAACGTATATATTGATAAATACGACAATACGCAAGGTAAATATTTAGGATAAGGATGAAGCTATCAGTTCGCTCGGCAAGCAACCTGCTTGCGATAGGGGTGGAATGATATATGTACAAGCGATCGCAGACTACAGATTTTTGACGTTTAGTCTGTATGAACAGGATGCGGCACACAGCTGGTGCTTAGACATCGAAGGCACAGACATATGGTTTACTTCGAACGTAAAGGTGTACTTCTTCCTGAAAAACAACTTTATTCAAATTTAACTATAGGAAGCTCAAATATAAATCGCACAGTGTCGAGCTGGTGATTTACCATGAGAATAAAGTTGCCGTGTATGAAACTCTCAGTGTCAGGCTCTAACCAACACAGCCATTGTAGACAGTGTAGCCACTTTTTGGTATGAGGTTGAAATCTTAGTAAGCTTCGCTTTAGTATTAGCATGTCAGCGTTCGACTCTTCTAAACGGCCTCTATGGGGTTTACGTGTATTCCCCTCTATATAGGCGCTATTGTACAAACCATCATATATTTGCTAAGTGTGTTTTGTTCCGTCATGAGCAGTCAATCACCAGGCATCGTGCTCAAGTGTTGGTGTGAACTGCAATACAGTCAATCGCAGACCGCATGCGAAATGAATATTCCCGCATATAATCCTTTGTCCGTATGCACACGATACGGCGCTCAGTCTGTGCTTAGGCACAAATACCCCGAACACTCCTTGTGAAACTACAGTGCTGGTCGACCTGAGACTGTATTATGGTGTTTCGCTAGTCCTGCGCATTCCAGGCTATCAGACGTATGCTATACTGTGGCATAGTAGATAGCTCATACGCGAGCGTCTACTAAGGAGCTGGGACTTAGTAAGACAGTTGATGCCAGGCACAGAAAGTATATCCAGCTCTATCAGGCCGCATAGAATGTCGGATACAGCCGTACATACACTTCCAGGCGACACTTATAGTCATTTATTATACGGGCACCACCTCAGCTGCTCACGTCCATTGATGTATTTATAGTTTCTGGTACACGTTTAACAATCCAGTATTCGCAGAAAAACGCCTTGCGCACACCCGTCTCTTATCTTATAGGCTACTGTGGGGGTACTTATGCTACCGGGACTTGAAGCTACTGTTAGAGATTATATTGAATAAACTGCCACCCCGAGAGCTGCGTAGGAAGAGAAGCATGAGTCAAGATAAGTGTTTGGGTGGTATGTAGTAGTAGTGGTACTGGCACATTGCATGTGCATAGTTAGCACTGAGCATGCAGTTGCACGTGTTGGTTAGCTGTGAGAGGGGTTTTAGCAAACGCGGCACGCACCGTTGCAGTAAGGCACACGCACGCGAGACCTTACAACAGGAAAGCAACTCCATAGGCACTCATAAAGGGACGATATATCTCTTAACACACGTGCAAGAAACTTAAAACCCGACAGCAGGTGCGTTCTGCGCCAGTCTAGGGATGTGAATGCACTACCGTGAGCGTTCGATTGAGCAACACACACCCGAGTGACAGAAACAGCACACACAACAACATATGTAGTAGTCGACCCATCCCAAGGTAAACACACACACCAGGTGACAGAAACAGCACACACAGCAACACATGTAGTAATTGACCCATCCCACGGTAACCATGGTCACGTACGAATAGCTGTATCGCATGCAATGGGGCAAACCACCAGGAGGATTTGGTCGACTGATAATGGTAGACGAGTTGGGGTTCTAGACAATGAGCACATACATACCCAGCCTTCTTGAGAGGTGCGGGTTTGCCCGGTTTCTTCTTGGTCAGTTCGTGTAGCTTCCGTATAGCCGCGCTACCTTTCGTTGGCATCTGTGGTAGTGAAGTGTTCAGAGGTGTAAGCCTTTCTAATCAGAGTGACACTGTTCAGAGATACACCTACAGCCTAAGGTATAGAGGCACTTGCCTATGTCTAGTTGGAAGCTTATTGCCCTATCACTTCGTAGACACGTTCAAGTGTGTGGCGTAGCTAACCAAGGAGAGTGTTATCATCTCATAACTACACTATGAGCCCTGTCGTAGGACACAGTAAGCGATTGCAAGAGACGTATCTCACACACGTAAGTACGGCTGCATACACACCAGTGATTCATATCTCACACACGTAAGTACGGCTGCACACATACCAGTGATTCATATCTCACACACGTAAGCACGGCTGCATACACACCAGTGATTCCTATATCACACACGTAAGTACGGCTGCACACATACCAGTGATTCATATCTCACACACGTAAGTACGGCTGCACACATACCAGTGATTCGGCAGTTGGTGCTGAACTTGCCTCGGCTGGCACCGTGGCACTGACGGAGTTGGCGAAGACAAACCTCGCCTTCCTTGACTTAGACGCGGCGACCTTCTTGTTTCCGTTTGTCTTGCTGTTGTTGTTGCCCCAATTGGACTGGTTGTGTGTAGCACGCGTTGGGCTCGTTAGCAATTGGGTATGTGCAGGATGTAGTGCGTACTGCGTACATGCCCCCCCCCCCAACCACACACACACACCGCCATGTTATATGCTTTGGGCATCTTTTGTATCGTGTTAGATGGAGGTGTTGCACGTGCTTTTGTTCTTGCCCGTTGGTAGAGCGTATGCACACCCTTTGCCGCGTGTCAGAGGAGAGATGTTCCTGAGGCTCGTTTTCACACCAGGTTGGTTGGCACCTGTTCAATTGTACTGCCTTGTGGGAACATACATACTCACCCAACACGTGTAAGGTGTGTAAGGACGACACATAGTTCCGTCTTCCTAGAGACTATCTCGTAGCCAATCGATTGCACCAGCTGCTTCTCTCGGTTGGGCTATAGTCAGCGAGTTCGTCTCTTTGAACGTACGATATACTAAATAGTATAGTAATAGGCATACACACACAACGTAGCAGATGACACACATTTGGGCAACATGATACACATGTGCTGTAGTACATAGGCAACCTACAAGTATCACAAACACATACATGTACAACCTACAAGGATCACAAACACACATACATAAACAACCTACAAGTATCACATAAACACCCACACACACACATGGCCAACCTACAAGTACTACGTGCACACAGCAGCACATGCATACAACATACGTTTAACCAACAAGCACCACATACTCATACACACAGCACACGTATACGACATACGTTGCTATCTTGGTTGGTGGGCTTCTTAAGGAAGGACCCCTTCGAGTGTAGCTTTGCTATGCCGAATTGCGAGTTCGAGTCCTCTGCTGTTTGCATGGATGGGACAGTGTTCAAGGGGCGGGTGAGACTCTGCTCATTACAAACCTGAACAATTCAATGCCCTTCTCCGATCAGGATTAAGTGTCAATCAAGCTTTAGCTACCGTTGTGTATCTAGACGCCAGGGAAGACCCGACTATATCTCCCAAACACGCTTAAGACTTCGTTGTTAACCATCGAATATCGGAAGGTTCCGATATACTTGTAATACAATACACTACTTATAGGCTCTAATGTACATTTAATATACTACTTAAAGGTTCTAATGTACATTTAAAACACTACTTAAAAGTTCTAATGTGCATTTAACAAACTACTTAAAGGTTCTATGTGCATTTAATATACGACTTGAAGTAGTTTATCAAATGTACTCAAAGGTTCTAAAATACACTCACATAAACCACTACACAAAGCATCGACTCACCGCTCAGTCTCGACCTCAGTGGGGCGCCCTGGCAGGATTTGGCTTTCTTGATGCATTGAAGTATCCTGCGCGTCTCTAAGCTCTTCATGCTCTCACAGCCGTGGAAGCTAAACGAGCTATTCTGAGACTGCGGATGCATGCAGAGAGAGGGTATGTCCGTGGGAGTGAGACGGTTTAGTACTAGCACACATAGTATTGCAGAATGCAGTCCGTGTGACTGTATGTTGGTGTGAGGTTGTTGTTGACGTCTCTGTAAGGGTGGTATGGGACAGTGTACGATATTGTGTGCGAGACGCTGAACGAGCTGGTTGACGATGGTTATCGAACGGTAGGCTTAGAACAATGACTGAAGTAGCACAGTACACACACACACACACACACATACACACACGCATATATATATACATACACACATACACACACACACACGCATACACACATACACATACATACATATACACACACAGACACAGACACAGAGAGAGACACAGACACAGACACAAACACAGCAACCAACACCCGGATGGCTATCCTGTCGCGCAGCTTATTAGTGTACGAGTGTCGCTGATTACTATCATCTGGTGACACGACAAGGCCTTCTCAGAGGCATAGCTCACAACAGCCGATACACCCTAACATGATCACAACCACCGTCACAACCACCGCCACAAGAGACCAACGAGCGCTTGCTCGCCCTATCACGCGGGTAGTTGAGAGTTGAGGCAGTGTCTACTTCTGATAGAACTACACACACAAGCCGAACATGGACCACACGCAAGCCAGACCATGGGCCTCCTGCGCACGCCCCGCAGAATTTACCTACACACCCACACAGCCAGCAAAATTTACCTACACACCCACACAACCACAACCGTGCACAAGCATACCTCGACAGAATGCATGTATGCCAGCTTATCCACACGCGCTTTAGCGAAGTCCGCACTCTTGTCTATGAGCTCAATGTCATCCTCCTCTATCTGCGATCTGCGCAGATGAGCTGTGTCGAACATGTCCATCGAGTTCTCGTCGTAGTCCATATATCCTGTTTTATTTCATTTTCCGGCCAATCATGCACGAAGTAAGGTATGAGCAGGTATGTCGGGTGCTTGTGTGCAACCAGGCGCAGAATACGGCACACCCATGGGTGTTGTGCCTATATAAGGATGCATGCAATTATCCCTGTGCAAGCACCTTCCGACTGACTGAGTCGTTTATTGCATACTGCGCTGTGACTCGCAACGCCCCTCAATGAGTGTGCTGCGCAGTGCCTGGGCGCGGTTCCTTTTGCGAGATTGACCGCTTTGACATGACTTCGTACATGCATATTATGAGCGTGTTTGGTAGAGTCTGAGTGCTTGTTTTTATGAAAGACTGATGACTTGAACACGGGTTCATACATGCATACTTATGCGAATATCTCACTTCTCTATATACGCTTGCATTGCAAAACCGCCGTTTTAACACCAGAGCATCAGTACAGAACTGTCCTCCACAGATTAAGTGGCGCAGTTCATAAACGCCTCGCCCACAACCTCTGCCACCCACCCAATGCCAGACACAGAAACAGTCACAACGACAGTAATACCATCCACATATCATGAATACATCGGTGTGCACGAGAGGGGATAGAGTAGATTCGTGTGGTGAGAATAACGAGTAGATGTATACGAGACTCATCACTGTGTAGCACCGGCACCAGCATAATCTCATAAGACGCACACTGCAGACCACGCGTACCTCTGGCATTGGCTCTCCGCCTGGCGGCTGCTAGCATGGCCTCGGACTCATCCTCGAAATCATTCCCAGCCTTCCTTTTATAACCTGAAAAGAGATGTGGATGCGGATGGGGGGGAGTGGGTGGGGATAGGACCGGTTAGTAGGCTGGCGATACATACACGCGGAATCACCGGTCTACATAGCACAATCTGTTCACTCTGATAATAGACTGTCGGCAGCACTTGGTACCATCCAGTACGCACTCTGGGTCTATCACGACGAATGTGTTCGCACACGGACTATGTCCTCTTTAAGCTGAACTGTGACAACATCGGAAAATAACACTCGTAAACGGATGCCGCAGAAAGCAGCTTGGCACAAAGAGGTGCACACAATTAACAGACAAAGACGCCAAATCAAACACAATGTTAAACTCGCAGCAGTGGCCCACCCATCGCACCTCCTATGACATTCTGCTTGATCTCGTCTATGGCCTTGTCGTTGTCTGCGATTAAGTCCTCTCTGTAAGAAATGGGACAGATGATCAGTACGTCTGGACCTTCTCTGCGTGTCTATAGCATGGTCATGTCGAACGCTTGTAGTGCGTCGCCTGCAGCACACTGGCTGTGGCACTATAAAAACATACAAGGTCTGCCTTTCTTCTGATTGGAAGTAAGGTGGTTATTTCGCCCGTATCTGCCCTCAGTAGAGTAAGTACCGCACTTTCCCTTCAGGAAGAGTGCACAAGAGAGTTCAGCCAGAGTCTGGTAGCAGTACTACGCCTTCTAATGCAGCGCAGGTGATACAGTGCAGGTGTGGCTGACCCATTGGGCCAAGTGACTTACTGTATTTTCCTTTTGAGGGCCGCCACATCCCCCGCCTCCACATCCTCGTCGTTCATCATATCCTTGAGATCTGCGGTCACGCCAGTGAGAACAGATGTGCGATTAATTGAATGTCGGCACAGTCATGAACAATGGTAGTCTCCGTTGTGAATACCACTGCGCCGCTGTGTGGATCGGAGTGTGATTTGCGCGATTGTTGGAATGCAGCACAGCGCAACAAACTTGACCGACGAGATGCAGCTGAACCAATTGAATTCGGCAGTATGATATCATTCGGTGAAACAGAAGCAAGTATGTTGATGCGCAGACACACAGTCATATACTTGCGCAACGTTGGCAAGATAATTATCGCAAATTACTTAATAATTCTGG